AAACTGGCCCGGCCCGCCAGGGTGCTTACCCTGGCGAGCCGCGTGCCAAACGTTGCCGACCCCTGATATAGATGTATTTTTATTCCAAAATAAACATGCCATCTGGTCATTATCCTATTTGGCCTAATTGGAAACAAGGGAAAGAAAATAAACTCTGGTTTTAAAATGACAAACGTAAAAAGTAGAAGTCTCTTGAGGAAGCATGGGCCAGCTCTCAAGATACAGGTGAACAGAAAAAACAGTGACAGTATCTTAGAGAAGTCACAGCAAATCACTAAAAGGCAGTGCACACAGATCAAGAGAGGAAAGAGCGGCTGAAGAATAATTCTAGCAGAGGCAGGTATAACGTTGGAGTAGCCAGATGTAGTGGGAATACTTTAAAAAGAAAGGGGGAAAGAAAAGAAACATTGAGGAGTCAGAAATATAGTGCTTACATGTAGAGAGGAAAGGTGGAATTTCTCCTCTTACAATTTCTGATCTGGTGAATGATGTTATGTGCGATTAGAGGAAATGCACACAGAGGAAATACAAACAACAACAGAGTCATTTTAGCACAGAGGTTGGGAAAAGTGTTCAGTTAGAAAACACAATGCAATATGTTGCTTGCTATCAATACATCTAACTCAAATGGTGGTAGCAGAGGAGACTCCTGCAAGGACAAGACCAGTTAACTTAGTAACTGTATTTTAGTCTTATTTATTTCTCTCAGCAACTTCATTTTGCTACTTATTTTTATCTGAGCACAGAAAAATGCAAGTGTTTTTAGGATGTTATATATTTGAAGTGTGTGTCTATACTGGACTTATGGTATCTGAGCACCTACCCCTCAATGTCAAGGGATAAATAACTTGAGCAAACGCCACTGCTTATGAAGTCTGAATTTAAGCAGCTTTTACTGTAATAGAAGAATCTTCTGTGTTGACCCTGGTATATAGTTTCAAAGTAGAAATATGCTCCTCTTCAGGATCTGCTCAAAGTTTTTTTCATAGAATCATAGAATATCAGGGTTGGAAGGGACTTCAGGAGGTCATCTAGTCCAACCCCCTGCTCAGAGCAGGACCAATCCCCAAATAAATCATCCCAGCCAGGGCTTCATCATGCCTGACCTTAAAAACCTCTAAGGAAGGAGATTCCACCACCTCCCTAGGTAAGTGTCTCCTAGTGAAAAAGTATTTCCTAATATTTCCTCCCCCACTGCAACTTGAGACCATTCCTCCTTGTTCTGTCGTCAGGTACCACTGAGAACAGTCTAGATCCATCCTCTTTGGAACCCCCTTTCAGGTAGTTGAAAGCAGCTATCAAATCCCCCCTCATTCTTCTCTTCTGCAGACTAAACAATCACAGTTCACTCAGCCTCTCTTCATAAGTCATGTGCTCCAGCCTCCTAATCATTTTTGTTGCCCTCCGCTGGACTCTTTCCAATTTTTCCACATCCTCCCTGTAGTGTGGGGCCCAAAACTGGACACAGTACTCCAGATGAGGCCTCACCAATGCTGAATAGAGGGGAATGATCACGTCCCTCGATCTGCTGGCAATGCTCCTACTTATACAGCCCAAAATGCTGTTAGCCTTCTTAGCAACAAGGGCACACTGTTGTCTCATATTCAGCTTCTCGTCCACTGTAACCCCTAGGTCCTTTTCTGCAGAACTGCTGCCTAGCCACTTGGTCCCTAGTCGGTAGCAGTGCATAGGATTCTTCCGTGCCTTTTACCCATCACATTGTTTTTTGTTTTTCTAGAGGAGAGAATCAAAACCTTCCCTTTGAACTTGTTCCTCAAACTGTTCAAGACAAAATTAAATCCACAATGTTGGATTATGAAAGTGCAAACATATTTCAATCAATCAATCAATCAATCGGAAACATGTCCATCTCCCAAGAATAGTAGATAGCAATTGAAATCTGATCAACTACAAGCTTTTTCTTTGGGTGATAAGGCAGTGGTCACATTTAGAATTCCTCCATGAGCCCTCCACTAACTTATCCCATTTGAAAATTTATTTTATGCTTGCGCACGTGTGCACACACTCCCCCACACACCTTCTAGTCTTTCCTTCCTTTATTTTGGCCTTCCATATTCCAACAGATGACAACACCCAACAGAACAGATGGATGTCCATCTGGGTAAACAGAACTGTGGTGAGGATGATAATGGGAGCTTCTTCGCAGCTTTACAGTTAACTAATCAATGTGTTGGATTCTTTACAGGGAATTCTCTCTGTGCGTGGCATTGCTCTATAACCCAGCATTATTCAAAAAATGTCAAACTCTAAAATCACAGCTCTCCACTCCAATAGGTAGATATATGCTGAGAGATATTTGCAGCTAATAAACTGGCCTTTGTCCCTACACTATACAACCGAAACTCCACCCATTCCTCTTTCATTAGGGTGAAATCCACCCTTGTGCAGAGGGCCAGCTCAAGGCCTGTGCATTACTAAGGGCTCAAAATAGACTTCAGTGGCACATAGGGATACATAGGCCTCATATGGAACAGGAATTATTCCTTTGCTATATCTTGGTAAAAAGGGGACAGGGTAAAGAGTAATTGGCACAATTTTTTTTTTAAAAATGAGAGACAAGCCGAAAATCAGAGCACTTCCAATCAGTGTATTGCAAAAGAAATCTGAAGTATGCATACTCACTCTGTGCAGATTTTATTCTGTTTATAAAACTTATGCCTTGCAGCAAACAGCCGTGAAATATATTTTGCATTTTCAATATCATCCTTTAAAACACAAGAAGAAAAATTGGAAAAGCCAGCTGATTATTCACTCTGCTGCTGTTACAATGAATTGATTTCAGCAACTGAAAGAGTGTTCTAAAAAATTCAACAGCAATAATGCCTTTTAAGGGATGCCACACACGAAGTCAGCTGCCAGGAACATATGCAGTGCCCTCAAACCTTGGACCACTGAAGTGCATCAGCATGTCTTTACATGCTGCCACTTCGCTGCTAATGACAGTGAAAAAAACAAAAAGAACGGTTAGAGCCAGGCTGTGTAATTTACACACTGGCCTGTGCTGGGGGTTATGTGGAGTTGCAGTTTTCTCAGAGCACTGCACAGTCCCTCCTAGAGCTCCAGAGAGCATGTATACAGGCTCCACCATTGCTCAGGGTGCTGCAGCTATGAGAGCATGGTGTGGCAAAGGGCCATGGACATTTCATCCAAAAGACAGTCAAGACAGACCTCCCAATAGGGTGGATTTCAGGCTGTCTAGAAGGTATTAAATACATTGAAAAGTAAAAAATAAACTGAGTTCGCCCTCCCCCCCCCCAATACAGGTGATGGGAATGTTGGAAAGGGTGAGCAGGTGACAGACTGAATTTGTGATTGCCACCCTCCAAATGCAGGGGAGTGAGGTGACACCTCTATTCAGACATTGGGACTTGAAGCTCAGTCTTTCTGATATACGGTAAAGTTTTTCTGTTGATACTGTTTAGGTACTTTGCTTACTGTGTGAAAGAGCACGGTTTCTTCTTTGTTGATCAACTCCACGATGATTGAAGACTTGTTATGTATTATATTCCCAATATCATTCCACCTGTAGAAGAGAAATGCTGCTGACTTTGCCAAGACACACAGGCAAACATTTCACAGACATGTTAGGAATGTATGAGTTAATGTGCAGGCTCATTTTACGTGAGAAATGCTAGCTGTTTGATGAAGAAAACACAGCCAGCAAAAAATCATGTGCTGTGATTAAAGAAAAAGCCACCCCCAAACACCCCAGATTTTAGAGTAAAACATTTCTTCTTCAAAAACAGCAATGTTAAGGGTTACAATAAAAGATACGATTGGAAATATATGAATGCTTAATTGTAAACTGAATTGCATTGTGTCACAATTTAATTATTATTTGACTGTGACTAGTTGGCAGGGAAATATGTACAGTTCTTGTTGGATTTTTTTTCCTAAGCTGTTTCCAAATTTCCTAGATTGAGGTTTAGTCTATACCGGAAAATTAGGTCGCTTTAACTACATTGGTTGGGGCGTGAAAAATCCATACCTTGAGCAGCATAGTTAAACCAACCTAAGTCCCCGTGTAGACAGCAAGATGTTGCCAGAAGAATATTTCCATTGACCTAGCTACTGCCTCTCGGGGAGGTGGATTAGGAAAATCCCTCCTGTCAGCATAGGTAGTGTTTACATTAAACCGCTACAGTTTGTTAATGTGCTTTGATCTAGTCCTTTTTGAAACGAGACTAAAGTGCACTAATGAATTTTTAATGAACGTCAGCAGGGCCCACACAGACAGTTAGTTCACAGCAGGGTAGTCCAGGGTACATTCACACACCAGTTCTCCACAATTTAATTGTTTGTGTAGATAAGCCCTTACCCATTAGTGTTTTTATACAAGCAAAAGATACCATGTTACTATTTTGTGTTTTATGCTCCTAATTTTTTTGCCATGTGTTAACTTATTCTTTCCTCCAGTGACTGTCAGGTTGATTAAAATCAGTATTATGATCTTTTTACAACTAGTTGTTGGCGTCGTTTGTGTCCATCATAAAAATCATGTACATCATGTGTCCCATGAGAACTTTTGGAATGGAAATGACTTGGGTCTTCTGGAAAATGTACTTGGATACATCCTGACATTACATGCATGGGAATGCATGCTGAAACAAAACAAACAAGGATACCAGCATTTTCTGAGAACATCTATACCTTTAAAAAAAATAAAAATAAAATAAAAAATCTGAGAGGTGTCTCACTTTTGCAACCTACATTTTCAAGAAATCTTAGGAATGGCACAATTTAAAAGAAATCTGATTTCTTCATAAAACTACACATTCAAGAATGAAAGATACATGAAAAATGCAAAAACAGATGGGAATCTTGATGATGTTGGAAAAAAATAATCTAAGCTCTTTAAAATAAATGCTAAGGTCTTTGAAAAAAGCTCCAACCACTGGCTAAAAACTACAGTGTGACTCATTAAAACATCTGTTTTACTATAAGTGCTGTACAAACATTCACACACCAAGAGCGCTGGTCAGAAACAATCTCACAGATTGTGGTTTATCATTCTAAGATAACAATGAAATAAACAAAAATAACCCATGAAACCACAGAAACAATTTAAAAAGGGGGGGGGGGGGCAGGGGATGAAATCCTGGCTCCACTGAAATCAATGGGAGTTTTGCCACGGTCTTCAAAGGGACAAGGATTTGACTCGATGCTTTTTGCTACTTTTTTTTTGATAGAGTAATAAAGATTTATTTTTATAGAATAACAAAGAAACAAAATGTAAACAATTATTGGAACTGATAAAACAATCCTTTGCCCAGACACTCATATTTTGCATTAGCAACACTGGGTAATCCCACAATGAGAAAAACAAGGGCCAAATTTAAATTCAGATATCGCTTTACCAGAGTCTGATCTCAGAAACTCTTTATCTAAAGGTTGCTCAGTGTCCTATGCAAAATGAGTTAGTTTCAACCTAGTTTCTCATGGATAGATGTCACAATATTATTTAGCTCCATAAATAAGCATAGTGCCACACACAAAGAAAAGACAATAGTCAAGAACTGAAAAAATGAGCCTAAAATTCAGCTCCTTTATCCTTACTGAGACACCGAAATAAGTGACCTGATTTTGGGGTGCTGGAACAATTTGTTTAGTGGGGGTGCTGACAGCCATTGAACCAAACTGTAAACCCTGTATATAGTGGCAATCACTTCAAGCCAGGGGGTGCTCCAGCACCACCAGCACCTCTAGTTCCAGCACCTATGGAAGCGATGCGCACCTAGCAGTCCCCACTGAAGTCTAACGTATTTGCTTTCAGATGCAAGAAAATAAGTGATTTAAGCACAAATTGATCCTAGAACGGCAAGAGGAGAAAAGGCATCAAAAGCTCATAAGCAATTCAAGTGTACACGATAGCCTTGTCTCTCTAGGCATCAACCCCATTCCCAGACATCTATCACAGACTATCCTTTGCTGCGTACACTTTTATGGGCAAGAGGCCAATCCTGAAAATCCTTACTCATGTCAGTACTCCTTTACTCACAGAAATAGTCCTACTGAAGCCACACTTGATGCCTGAGTCACTGGGGAAAAAGCACAGCTTCCTGTAAAAGGAATTCACATTAAAAGCAAAAGTCCCTTGAAGGTACCTGTATATCACTGTTGGCCTTCCAATTCTATTTTTTATGAAGATTCCCATGAAGAAAATGCCAAGATGCATATCATTTCCATGATTGTCCTGCACAAAAACCACATCAACATTTAGTTAATTAATACAGAAACTGGTTTTACATGAAGAACGCCCAGGGAACTACAATAAAATGTTTAAATCAAAATCATCCCCTAAGATATACAGCACATCAAGCATTCAGGAGTCTGTCTGTAGTTTAACTAACCAAAAAACACCCAGTCTGTATAGCGATTGTTTCTTATTTACAAGGTAATTCAATTACATGCAATAGCCAAACAGGGACATCCCATATTCAATTACACAGTAATTCAAAATAAATGTCATATGAATATAAGCCACGTGGCTAAAAGGATTACAGTATGGAGCAACACAAGGGAAATTAGTGTGCTCTAGTGGAATAAACACTAGACAGAGTCTGAAATTCCTGCATTTTAATTCATATTATATGGATTTGGACCATTCACTTGACCTTTTGGAGACAGATTTTCAGACTGGTCTTAAATAGGCCTCCGTTTTGATAGGTGCAAATACCCAGGGACACAATTTAGGTAGCTTAGATGTCTAAGTATCTGATCTGTGGATACAATCTGGTACTCATACATTTAAATGTTAAATTGCATCCCAAAAGAATGATTCCTACTATCTGTGGATGCAAAACAGGATATCTGTATTTGCAAATCTGGTCCTCTGTGACTCAGTTTGCCCTTCTCTAAAAGAAATAATACTTACCTACCTCACAGGGCTATTTATACTGTGCTTCTAAGATGTAAATCACTGTATAAATATCAATAATTATTTTTACAATAAGTAATATTACCTTCATTCACTGAAGAGAACATGAATTCAGTTCTTTGAAATACAAAGTAACATTTCTGTTTTTCCTATTTTGTACAGAATAGGCACTTTGGCTTCTTATTTAACATGGTCCAGAATGACATGCAATAGCCAAACAGGGACATCCCATATACAAAACCTGAAAAAATTCACTTGCTAGTGCCAAGTGGGAAGCTTTCCCTGGAGAGGGCTGGTGCTTACGCCATCACATTTCTGAAGATTTTACAAAAAGAAATTTGTCTATAGCTCTTCTGATTGCCAAGAGATAAATCCAGACGTGAGCCAAATGTAAACTGATGCAATGTTGTCTTCCTGAGTCTGTAGGCAGGTAGTCCAAGTGCTTCAGCTGCTGCTTACTGGTTTGCAAAGCTTCAGCACATGAAATTAATAAGAGTTTCAGTGATGGGTGGCCCACAGTGACACTATCACTCTGCTGCTGCTATGGGAGAATTCTATGAGCGGCAACTGAGGCAGGCATGGCTGAGACACGCACAGTATTTGGGCCAAAGGGACCAAAAAAGATAGAAGGGGAAGGAATAGAGGAGACTCCCTTCTGTTCACCAGCACCCTCACACCATTCAGGACATATTGGAAAAGAGATAGAAGGTGGACCTCCCTAACCTCTCTCTCTTCATTGACTGCTTGTAGTGGGGTGGCTGCCCCACTCCTGGAGAACAGGAGTTAAAACAGCCAAGATAGGCTGATTGGAGTAGCAGCCTCAGCTGTGGCCTGCTCAATTAGGGCCCAGCTGGCCCTGATAAGAGGGCTGTGGGCCAGAAGCTGGAGGAGTCTCTCTGTAGCTGTGGAGAGAGAAGGACCTGGCTGCCTGGGAACTCAGGGTACAGGGAGTAGAGCAGGGCTGGGGAAAGGCAAGAGGAGCTGGGGAGCTCCAGCCTGGCAAATCACCAGGCTGCAGGCCTTGCTAAAGGCCAAAGCAGGTACAGGGGTTGCAGAGGTGCAGCCTGGGCTTAGGAAGAGGCAGCTGGTCCTAACCCCTTGCCAATGATGAATGGCCATTACAGACTGCAGTCTGCCCCAGTGAGCTAGATGATGACTGGCAGTAGCCCACTGAGGCAAGGTGGGTTTAGAGAGTTGGGGGTTCCCCAGAGAGTGGGGAGACCCAGAGAGTGGGGGTACTGCTGCGGCAGAACCCTGAGGTAAAGGGCACTGGGGTCCGGGAGGGACATGGGGCCAGTGACAGGTGAGACACCAGCCTGCAGAGGGCGTTCCGTACGTGGGAAAAGAGCTAATTCCCAGGACGACCAGTAGGAGGTGCCGCGCCGGTGAGTCTTGCTTCGCTACACTGCTGTTTTGCGAAGAGAGAGAATCCTGTATCCCTTCCAGCTTCTGGAGAGTGGCGAAGCTTCACATTTATCAGATGCCTAGTACCAACAGGGTGATATAAAAAGATTAATTCCCTTGGCAGTGTCCAAGACAACACCCTGTTAGAAATCCTAGCTACCTTCTCATTCTCAGGCTCTTTGGATGAGCAGGCGTCTAGATTTTGTCCCAAAGATTCGTTGGTAGTGTGCCCCATGCGTGCATTTTGTATTTATTTCTAGCTAGCAAGGGTTAATCCCCCAGTAAGTAGATGTCTGGTACATTTTTCAAGCCCTGTACATGCACTGATTCCCAACGCTGCATATACCAGAATTCTTCAAATTATACTCCAAATCTGCTGTGGTTTGGACGTTCTCTGCTTAATCATGGGAAGAGCTGTAATAAGCAAAGAAATGGTGAAGATTTTTTTACATTGTTTTTAAAGGGGGGGGGGAGAATGAAGGAAGAAAGGAAGGAAAAAAGGAATCAGCTCTCGAATGCCCATCTCCAAAAGAGGGTCTCTCAATACATTGTGTTTGTCCATACATCTATCCTGCCAGCTCTCCTGGGTGGTGGGGGGTTTTCTGCATCTTGCACTGCGTGAGCACACAACTGGTGCTTCACCCAACAACCACCAACAACGATCAGGCAGAATGAGAAATTCTGTTAAGGAAACAAGTTGCCACAGTATAGAGTTTTAATGGGAATTAATCCCAGAACAAACCTTTTATTTCTTTTAGATGCATAAAGATTTGACATCAGAAGACCACATAATTTCTGCCTTCCAGTGAAAAAGCCATTAACTTCAATGGAGACCATCACAAGATCCAAAGTACAATCAGCCAATCTGTTTGGTTTTTTTGTCCCTTCAGGCTAACTTCAGGGTTCTCTTATTTTTTATCTCAGTAGAAGGAGAGGCAGAAAAACACTTTTACTAGGAAGTGCCTGGGGTTGGGGACAAGGAGAATTGTTGAGCAGTCCAGTATTTATAACAAATAACCACAGAAGGAGAGTTTGCAATTGCAGAACGGGCTAAAAGTGTTCAATGTTTCAGCCACCCAGTGGATCATAGTGACATGTGCTGTTCAAACTTAACCAGGTTGCAGATGGCAGCATGGGGCATTAAGACAAGGAAAACTGATTAAATATTCAAGTGAATACAGAATAAAAAGGACAACAATACAGCATAAAAACCCTGAAAAAAACAACAACCAGTTGTTAGCCTAACATTACCTTGCTTCTGTTCAGCTGACAGAACCTAGTACAGTTACACAAACCACCATCTAAACATCCTACCTTAGCTAATAAAGTCTCACAACTCTCCTGTGAAGTGAACAAGTGTTGTTCTACTCATTTCACAAATGGGGAAATTGAGATAGATGGTTAAGTGACTTTTGCCAACAGTAACTCAGCAAATCAACGGCAGTGCCAGGATAAAATCAGGGTCCTGATTCTCCATTGCCATGCACCTGATGTAGTCATTTATCCCTGTGCAAAATGGATCTAATACACTACCATTCCAATCTGGTAATTCTTCATTTGGATATACACATATTGTTTACAATAACATGAGTTATACACACATCACCATATACCCCTCAATTGTCTTTTTTTTTTTTTTTTTTGGATGGGGGTTGTAAGAAGGCTATGTAAATAATAGTAACTAGAGTCCCATACCTTCACAGGGAAGCTTTCCTGTCCAAACCCTTCAAGGCGTTCCACTTCACTAATGTACATAAGTTCAGCTTCTGCTGCTGGTATGCCACTACAATTAAAACAACATAAGACAGCAAGAAATTGTTCAGTACAACAAGTCATATTAAAGGTTCTAGCCAAAAAATGGCAGATTCAGCATAATCTAGATTGACTCACTTTAGATACTACTGAGATTCTGAAGAAAATGTACAATATAATTAAAACAGATCATTACTTGTATTATCAAGATGGGATAGACATTTTAGTTCATTCTCTATATTGTCATTAGTAGGAGGTAGAAAGCACAGTCCAAATCTAGAGAGGAGCAACCAATGTGACAGAGAGGCACTTTCTACTCCAACGTCTAAAACAGGTTGGCAACCAGGGCTATTTTATATTTGTAAAATTTTGTGAGAAGCTGATTAACTTCTGTACAAACTAAATAAAAACCCAACTTAAAGTAGCAGAAGAATAGCCATATGTATCAGTTTCCTATTGCAAGTGAAAACAGAACAGAGTGTATCTTAACATTTTGGGACTCACCTGTGAGTTTTATGTTCCTGAGCTACCTTTTGAGTCAGATCTTCCAGGACTGCTTCATCTTGAGTCCAGTCCTGTAAGAATACAAACAAGAACACTCTGTTTATTGAGGGATACTAATCAGGAAAGAAACAAAGCAAAACACAGAACAGATACATTGTGATGGTGTATGTTTTAAGGTTGCCACGTGTCTTTAAGCTTGCAGGACAGTGATGATACCTAATACTGATTGCAATGGAAATCTGGATTCGTTTGTTATTACCAAAAAATTTCTGAGGGCAAGATACCAGAGCTTCAGGGAAAACTTGGGGGGATTAGAAATTTTAAGAAGATTGTTAATTCAAAACAAAAAGGGGGCTAGAAATATCTTCCCAAATACAGAACAGAAAGACCTAACACTTTTCTTTTAGTAACTGTTTCAAAAAAGGAGGATCAAAAGCTTTGCTGTTCCTTTAAGTGCATAGTAAAGGTTGCCTTGTGTTTTCAACACACAGTTGATGAGGAAATTGTTGTACATTTTGTAAATGTGATAGTGTGTGTATGGTAGGAATAATTCTGAAATCAACTGGGGCAAGATAATAAAGGAAGTCTGGTCATAAAATGAAAGCAAAAAAAAGGAAAATGAAAAAGTTACCTAGCAAAACCTCAAAATGATTATATTCATATAAAAAAAATACGCCTTAAGGCTGTGTGTATTGTATGTGGCTAAACTGCCTGTTTCTTGCTCAAAGGAGGCCTCCTTGCAATATTTGTTTCTGCCACAGAAAAATGTGAAAGTGGTAGCATGCTAATGAAAAATGGCATGGTACGTGCCTGTACATAGCCACACACCTGTGGGGTGTTCTGTGTACATAACTTTGTTCTTTTCACTGAAGAAATGCCATTTGACACATAATGTAGCCTCACAAGATCAAACACAGTCCAAATGCAGCTGCCCCTCCCCCATTCACCAGCACACTGAAATAATGTATTTTTCAGCAAATCAGTGTTCCACTTCGAGACCTTATCTACTCCCAAGGGCTGCATAAATCTCCTGACCGCTGCTCTAGCACTGAGGCAGTCTACAACAGTTAGCAGTGGTTACAGCCCTAGTGTAGGGATTTTTACCATTATGTTACCTAACCCTGCCCAGGGGAAAGGACGAAGTAGAATCGGTGACTCAATGCTGGAGGACAACATGCCTCAAGGGCTAGCTGCTTTGGCTGGAAGTGGCAGAAACAATACACCTCTTCAGCTTTGGAGGATGTCTGTGCTCGTGCGGTACTTAGAACAATGGGGCCCTGGCCCATGAAGAGGCTCCTAGGCACTACGGTAATACAACTAATAAGTAATAGAATAATAGTAGTAGTAGCAGCATAAGAGGGAGGTAAGAGACAGCGTGATGACAGGTACAAAGCAGAAGTCAGACAACATAGTCTAAACAACAACAGAGGGCAGGAATGGAAAAAGAAGGTATCAACTGATAGGCCCAATCCAGAACACTGGATTCAAACTCCCTCAAACTAGGGAGAAGTTTAGCTCCATATCCAAACTTTGAGACCCATCTTTATTTTTTCTACTGACAGAAAACTAATTGCAGTGTACTGAAAAGCTCAGGAGCGCAGTCCTTTGAAATGTTGGCACACAGTGGTAGATTCACTGCAAATCTCTCTGTCCACAGTGCAGCCATAATCTTGCCCCAAGCTGTTACCCCCAATATGATAAACAATCCCCCTCATGGAGTAACACCAAGATAGCTAGTAGTAAATGGGAAAAAAAGGCCTCATGAAAACAAGAACTCTGCTAGTCACTCTACATGCGTTTCTCAGTGGAAGTTAAATACCATCTGCCACGACATATGCAACATATGGCTTCTTACACTTACGTAGGCTCGTTATTTTCCCCTTCCACTTGCAGTTTTCTCTCAGATACGTCTGAATTCCCAGCACACATGAATGACATTCAATTGCCATTTCTCAACCACTCATGCTGTCTGATGAAAACGCCTATAGCTTTACAATCCCTACAAATTTAATTTCAACTCAGAAAGAATGTCAAGATCAGAGCCTGATCATCAAAATTTTATGAAGGTTGAGCTGAAGTTCTGTGGTTGTGAGGTTGCTGGTCTTAGCTAAAGCCTAGCTTAGCCTCAACAACTTCTTAAAGTTATCCATTCTCCCATCAATTGCTCATTGCTATGGTATCAAAGTAGCTGGTATCTTTTACCTCATTCTCTCTTATGGCAGCAATTTTACATTCCTCTTCAGAATTTATCAATAAACATAAAATAGTTCATTAAATATCTGAAAGATTTGATAGTTTCAGATTTAGATTTGAATAACTTTTACTGCACACTCACTGTGGGCCAAACCCTGAAGTCCTGATTCACCTATTATTCAGGCAAAAGGCTGATCCATTTTGATGGGAATTTTTCTTTAGTAAGGACTGTATGATTTGCTCTATAAGATTGCATTTGTTATATGAGCCAGTCCTCACATCCCATTATTATTTACTGTTTTTATTGCAATACCGCCCACAGACTCCCATCAGGAATATGTTAAATGCTGTATAACTTTATACTTTGTTCAAGTAAATATATTTCTTCTACTGAAATCTGTTCCTAGGGGAGAAATAAGCATGAATAGAGCTCATGAAGGGTTAAATCCATGCTTCATGTAGTTGTTTAGCTAAAACCATATGAAACACAATCTCTTTGGAGGCAAAGCTTACTTTAGTCATTTAAAAATTTAGCACTAACACTTTTCATTGAGCTATCAACAACACCATCTCTGAAGGATGGAGGAATTACTCATAGGAGACCATGAAATAAAGAGGGGAAAAAAGTAACTCACCATAGGAAACAGAACATATTCTCGGAGGAAATCATGAGATTCAAACTGATTATAGTCACCAAAATCCGCTGGAAAAAACAACACCACATTTACTCATATTACATAGCACTTTCCATGGATACTAAAGCCTCAATCCTGTGAACCTTTGACTCACATGCTTAACTTTAAGTGTGTGAGTTCTCCCACAGAAACCGAGTGTTTGTAGGATTGAGGCCTTGAACACCAGTTTAAAAAATTATGTCCATGCCTGAGATAATGGTGTCACTAAAGACCAGTTAAAGATTGACCTGGGCACAATTACACAAGGAGCCTCTCCTTTTTTGCACTACCCCACTCCCTGGAGCGCAGGGATTAGTACTCCGTACTAACGCTTCATTGGCTGCTGCCACCCCAAAAAGAGATAGGGTGGCCTCTGGTAGGCATTTTGCTTCTCATTAGCTCCCATCCTCCCCTAACACACAGTACAGAGTGGCCCTGAACATTTCACTCAGCCTTTGCTAAAACACCACAAAAGACCTATGTGAAAGGTGCTGGATTAACATCCCAGGAGGCTGACATCCCTTGAAAATTAACGTCAATGAACAGCAGAGGTTTAAGTAAACTTGGATTTTCCTTCTCGTCCCAGACTGATATATACCAGGCTAGCCAAAAGTTCCTGCCAGGGGCGCTAGTTTAATACTTTATTCCCTCATCTGGCAATTCCCTCTCATTTGCCCCCTCTCTCTCTCTATCCATTAAGGAGTGGATACAATCTTGGCACTCACAGCACTGCTCTTAGTCACCCACATGCAACACCCAAAGGATTATTATGGTTTAAATGTTCTTAAAATACTGCAGTTTTGAAAGTGCTTCCTAAAAATTAAAATGCTTCTTCTGAAACATGCACACAAAAAAACCCCAAACAAAAACCACCCCCACCCCAAAAAAGCCACATCTAGATGTATCTATTTGTTAAATACACAACAGCTTATAACTAAAGAATGAACTTGCTGGAAAGTTATTTTATTTAACTGAACCAGAACAAACGCCATCAACAATATACTAGTATTTTAGAAGTTGGAAATCCCCACCATAAATCACAGTAGCCAAACATTCTTGCTAAGCTTCTAGACAATTTCACGTAGCATAGGATGCCAAAAATGCCGTTTCGTTTTGTTTCACCTCAGAGTTATGTTTTAAAATAAACAGGGAATCAAAATGGACATAAAACACAAAGTACGCAATTCAAAATAATTGAGTATATTCCAAGTCTCTTTACAGGATCATGTGCAAAAGATAAAAGACAGCAACACAATGTCATGAGTAAGCAACAAAAATTGGAGTAAGTGTCAGATGCAGCTATCTATCATGATAACAGATTATGCAGAAAATTCACAACAAAAGAAGTGATTATTACTCAAACCACTTACAGAGACAGGAGAATGGACAATTATATGGTAAGTGAGGCCTGCACAAAGCCACTGGAAAGATCCCAAATTGAGATAGTGTAATCCGATTTGGTGTCTGTCCATCACCAATTCTTGGACTTGTACTTTAGGAAAACCTCATTAAACGGTACTGCAAAGTTCAAGGTGGACATCTCTTTTCAATTATACTAAAGATTCAATTATACTAAAAGATTTCAGGGCAATGGTCAGCAGAACACATTAGGATTTGTTTTTTCCTTTTGTTTTTGAACACCCTATAGGACATTACAAAGGTATTTCTACCAGCGCTGGCAAAGATCAGATTAATTTACTGAAGGGCGCTCTAAGTGCTATAAGCAGGTGAATATTAGTATTCCTAAACTGAGGCAAAGAGTAAGTTAATGACTTGGCTTTCAAGGTGGTGAGCATCCACAGCTCTCACTGATGTCAGTAGGGATGGAAGATGCTCAGCAGATCTGAAAATCAGTCCACAAGAGACTTGCAAAGGCCTTTGAGCAAGTCAGTGGCTGTCACAGGTAGCACACAAGTTCTCTACTGCTAGGTCCTTGTCCTAACTACTAGACCATGCAGAAATTCAAGTTCCAGAAGGTCACAAATTAAGCTCTAGAAAATTTCATTTCAGCAACAGAATGCTCTACAAATAAGAAGAGACAGGATGGTCACATGTTCAAATAGGTTTCAAAAACGCCTAGGGACCCGTTATACCACAAAAATCTTTAATTTTTGAGAAGCCAGTAACTGTGCTATTATTTTAATAATATTAGCTACTATTTGTATGTACAATTACCTGATTTGAACATTTACATTTGGATTCTTTTCAGCAGGCACATCTGTTGCATCAAGTTTTGAAATTCTGCCTATTAAAGTCTATTAGAACTAGACAGCCTGAGAGATATTATAACCTAATACACGTTTATTTTTCTATATTATAAGTATACTTTTTAATCTCTCTCCTTACTAGGCTAAGAGTAAAATCACAATAATAAACAGCTGTAATAACCACTATTATGTACTCTATAGTACTACTGATAGGAAGTGCCCGCTACAGCAAAGTGAATTTTTAATTAAAGGCAAAATTAAGCTCAGGTTGAAAATAGAATTACACTGAAAATAAAATTTGAAAAACAAACAGTGAGCTCCCATCATTTTACAAAGTAGTCCACTATTATTAGAAGAAGAATCTAGATTTGTTTGTTGTTAATCCAGAAAATCCAATGTTGGAGCTGAACAATGCTTATATGGTATCTATGATCCAGTCCATGATTCTACACCTGACAGTACAAGTAATTCATCAAAAACCCAATCCTACTCCTATTGAAATCAATGGAAAGACTAATGATCCTTAACATGAATTGGGGTGGGCCTAATTAGTGTCAAATGAACACTTGTAGAGGGCAATGTTGGAAGAGAACTAGCAGGTAATTTAACTTTACCTTGCACAGCTAAGCCAGCCAGCCGGATCCCCTGATCCAACGAAGAACGCAATCGACCATCAAGAACATCTTTTTTCACTTGTAGGTAATACTGATACCTGTCAATAAGTGAAACAACAAAACGAGACCCAAAGTTTATATACTTGGATATTTTCTACAGAACAATTGCTGAAGACAGAACATTTTTACGCAAAGGTTGTGTACTTAAATTGTACTGTGTATGTTGCAGATGCCACACATACAATCTTAATTATAGCACTTTAAAATCACCAATGTGATCCCTATCCGGACCATTGTTCCCAACTGTACAAAAGAGAGAAATCAGAATTCCATTTTAATCTAATAAAACCTTTCATATTCTTCTAGAGTGAACTCCTAAATCAGCACAAATGAGATTCAGGATCTTGCCACTAGACAGCACCAAAGTTCTGGTGAGACCTGCGTTCTCAGGATTACAGCAATAGTAGCAATACTATAATTTGATCAAGAAGGCATTTTCAGTGTAAAGCCCATTTTCATTTCCTTCAAATTAGAGAAATTCCCCTTGGAGCTGAATTTTTTCCAGTTTACTTAAAGCCCAAAGTTGAATTTTGGGCAAAGTGGGTGAAAAAAACCTTTGCAGATAATTTTGGGTTACTAGATTTAAAAAAATAAATAAAATAAAAGCTAAAATATTTTCACGCATTTTCTTGTGCTCTAGTAACTCACAACCAGTTTCATTTTATAAGTTTTGATTTGGCATGCAAGAAAATTGAAAGACTCACATTAATTTCAATGTGCTCTGAACAATTTGATTGTGAGAAAGGAAAGCATGAAACCAATGAGAATAGCACACAGCCTCTCTGCTTGGCCTTTCTGCCTCCAATCTCAAATTTCACAACTCTGGGATTCTGTGGCCTGGAATTCAGCATACTGTGCAAAACATAGATAATCTGAAATTGCAAAGAAATGGCACCAGAGCCAGGCAGAAAGACTACCAGACTTGCCTTTGCCATCACCTTAAATGGAGGTAGGGGGACACTATGCTTATAATTTCACATCTGCACACTAAATGACTTGAAGTCCATGGGAGTTTTGCCACTGACGTCAGTGGGGCCAGGATTTCAACCACAGTTCCTGCAAAAACTATAGATAAGCCACACTGCAGAATACATGAACAGCAGAAAATATATGACGATACCACAGTTACTGCATCAGAAGTCATGACAAGATTTTGAAAAGTAAAAAACGGTTACTCACCTTCTCATAACTGTTGTTCTTCGAGATGTGTTGTTCATGTCCATTCCAAGCAGGTGTGTGCGCGCCGCGTGCACGCCAGCCGGAAGATTTTACTATAGCAGCGTCCGTAGGGTCGGCTCCGGTGCCCCCTGGAGTGGCGCCCTCATGGCGCTGTATATAGGGGCCAGCCGACCCCCCACCCTCTCAGTTCCTTCTTGCCGATACTCCGACAGAGGGGTAGGAGGGTGGGTATTGGAATGGACATGAACAACACATCTCGAAGAACAACAGTTACGAGAAAGTGAGTAACTGTTTTTTCTTCTTCGAGTGATTGTTCATGTCCATTCCAAGCAGGTGACTCACAAGCCCAAGTCTAGGCGGTGGGGTCGGAGGTCACTGCAGACTGGAGGACTGCACGGCCAAATGCAGCATCCTCCCTGGCCTGGTGCGTGATGGCGTAGTGCGACGTAAAGGTGTGGATTGAGGACCAGGTGGCCGCTCTACAAATTTCCTGCATTGGGACCTGGGCCAGGAACGTAGCTGAAGAGGCCTGCGCTCTCGTGGAGTGGGCCATGATAGGCGGGGCTGGTATATTGGCCTGACTGTAGCACTCCCGGATGCAGGTTCTGATCCAAGACGAGATTCGCTGTGATGTGACCGGGAGCCCTTTGATCCTATCGGCCACGGCGACGAAAAGTTCGGTTGACTTCCTGAAGGATCTTGTCCTTTCGATATAGAATGCAAGAGCCCTGCGAACGTCCAGGGAGTGCAGTCTACGCTCCTTCGCAGAGGAGTGTGGTTTTGGATAAAATACCGGGAGAAAAATGTCTTGACCCATGTGAAACTGGGAAACCACCTTAGGCAGGAACGCTGGGTGCGGCCTGAGTTGGACCTTGTCCTTGTGGAAGACAGTGTATGGAGGTTCAGATGTTAAAGCTCTGAGTTCTGACACTCTGCAGGCTGATGTGATAGCCACCAAAAACGCTACCTTATATGAAAGATATAACAGCGAGCACAAAGCCAGCGGTTCAAAGGGGGGCCCTGTAAGGGCGGACAGGACCAAATTGAGGTCCCAAGCAGGGACAGGTTCACGAATATGCGGGAACAATCTGTCAAGGCCCTTAAGGAACCGTCCGAGTGGGTTCGCAAACACTGAGGTCCCCCCCTCTCCAGGGTGGAACGCCGAGATTGCAGCAAGGTGTACTCGAACCGACGAGAGAGTTAGTCCCAGATGTCTCAGATGTAGCAAATAATCCAATATGAGAGGGACAGGGGCGAGCAAGGAGGCCTGACCCCGTTGTGTGGCCCAGAGGGAGAAGCGCTTCCACTTGGCCAAGTACGTGGTCCTTGTCGAGGGCTTCCTGCTGCCCAACAGGACCTGTCTGACCTGATGAGAGCATTGCAACTCCGCGGGGTTTAGCCATGGAGCATCCAAGCTGCAAGGTGGAGCGACTCCAGGTTCGGGTGAAGGAGGCGACCGCGATCCTGCGTGATCAAGTCCGGTAGTAGGGGCAACGTGAGTAGCACCCTCGTAGACATGTGCAGGCGAGACGTGTACCAGTGCTGGCGCGGCCACGCAGGCGCTATCAGGATGAGCCGAGCGTGATCCCTGCGGGTCTTGAGGATTACTCTGTGAATCATGGGAATCGGGGGAAAGGCGTAAAAAAGCCCGTCTGCCCAAGGGAGGAGAAAAGCGTCTGTTAGGGACCCCGGACTGCGTCCCATGAGGGAGCAGAATTGGCGACACTTCCTGTTCTCACTGGAGGCAAACAAGTCCACCTGGGGATGACCCCAGAGTCGGAAAATTGAGAGAACTATATCCGAGCGGATAGACCACTCGTGACCCTGGAACGAGCGGCTGAGGGCGTCCGCGAGTCCGTTGTGCGTGCCCGGGAGGTAGGATGCTGTCAGGTGAATTACGTTCTGTACGCAAAAGTCCAATAATGCGAGGGCCTCCTGGCAAAGGGGAGAGGAGCGAGTACCACTCTGTTTGTTGATATAAAACATCGTTGGAGTATTGTCTGTGAGGACAGAAACGCACCTGCCTGCCAGCTGGGACTTGAATGCTATGCATGCGAGGCGTACCGCTCGTAATTCCCTGACACTGATGTGCAGTGAAAGATCCTCCCGCGACCAAAGACCTTGGGTTCTGAGGTGGCCCAGATGTGCACTCCATCCCTGATCCGATGTGTCCGTTCCCAGGGATAGGGAGGGCTCGGGGTCGAGGAAAGGAACTCCCGCACAGACCATCCGCGGGTCGAGCCACCATTGAAGGGAGTCCAACACCGGCCGAGGTAACGTCACCACTGATTCTAGGGAGTCCCTGACTGGCCAATAAACCCCTGCCAACCAAGACTGGAGTGGGCGCAGTCTGAGTCTGGCGTGTCTCACCACGTAGGTACATGCTGCCATGTGCCCTAGTAATTTGAGGCAGCTTCTTACTGTGGTGGTAGGGTAACTTTGGAGGCCGAGAATGATGTTGGATATAGTTCGGAATCTGGCCTCTGGGAGATATGCTCTGGCCTGTGTCGAGTCCAGAACTGCTCCTATGAATTCGATTTTTTGAGTTGGAGATAGTGTGGACTTGGCCTCGTTGAGTAAGAGGCCGAGTGAGCGGAAGGTCTGCCTGATGAAGACCACCTGAGCCTCCACCAGTACCTTGGTCCTGCCCTTGATGAGCCAATCGTCCAGGTAGGGAAATACCTGGATCCCCTGCCTGCGCAGGAAGGCTGCCACGACTGCCATGCACTTCATGAAGACCCTTGGGGCTGCTGACAGACCAAAGGGCAGAACCGTAAACTGAAGATGAGCGTTGCTCACGAGAAACCTGAGGTAACGCCTGTGCTGAGGGATTATCACGATATGAAAGTATGCGTCCTTTAAGTCGAGGGCGGCATCCAGTCTCCTGGATCCATGGAAGGCATGATGGAGGACAGGGAGACCATGCGGAACTTGAGCTTCTTCACAAACTTGTTGAGACGCCGCAAGTCCAGAATAGGTCTGAGGCCCCCTTCCGCTTTCGGAACTAGGAAATATCGGGAATAGAAGCCCTTGCCCCGTAGCTCCAGAGGAACCTCCTCCACTGCCCCTGATGCAAGGAGGGACTGAACTTCTTGAAGTAGAAGTTGCTTGTGAGAGGGGTCCCTGAAGAGGGATGGAGAGGGGGGCTGGTGGGGCAGAAGGGAGGAGAACTGGATAGAATATCCCTCCTCTACCGTGCGAAGCACCCAAGCGTCCGATGTGATCCGGACCCATGCACGATAGAAGGGGGACAGACGTGATGAAAAGGTAAGGTTGGACGGATCCGGGGTTCTGACTGGGAGTTCGTCCTCGACCAAGCCATCAAAATGGTGGTCTAGGCCCCTGTGTAGGCCTTGGTTGGGCAGATGACTGTCCGAAGGGCTGCTGTTGTTGCCTCCTCCTGCCCGTTCTCGGCCTTCTATGCAAGGCATCCCCTCGATTTTGAGGCTGGTACGGTCGAGGGGCCTGCGGCGGCCTGAATTGCCTACGCTGAGTAACAGGGGTGTGTAGGCCTAAAGAACGGAGGGTGGTTCGTGAATCCTTTAGGCTATAGAGCCTTTTATCAGTCTTTTCCGAGAAGAACGTGGGCCCTTCAAAGGGCAGGTCCTGGATCGTCTGTTGGACCTCGTGAGGGAGGCCGGAAACTTGAAGCCAGGCCCCGCGCCTCATGACCAGACCAGTGGCCAACGTGCGCGAGGCTGAATCGGCTGCGTCCAAGGCCACCTGGAGGGAAGCCCGGGTAATTAATCTCCCCTCTTCAACAAGGGCCGAAAACTCGGTTCGTGAGTCCTGTGGGAGGAGGTCCGTGAACCTGGACAAAGCCGAACACGTGTTGTGTCCATACCGGCTCACTATGGCT